AGCCATAACGCCTTTACAAATCAATATATTATGTATCAGTGGCAGATACAAGGGGGGCCACATGGGTCATGACCCCCCTTGGTGCCCGGGGGCACCACCGGCCAAGCAGGGGCACCACCGGCCAAGCAGGGGCACCACCGGCCTAGCAGGAGCACCACCAGCCCGCCAGGGGTACCACAGGCCTAGCAAGGGCACCACGGGCCTGTGACGGGTCCCACAGGCTTGTCAGGGACACCCCAGGTCTGTCAGGGACACCAGAGACCTGCCAGGGGCACCACCGGCCTCGCAGGGGCACCATGGGCCTGTTAGGGGCACCAGAGGCCTAGCAGGGGTACCACAGGCCTTACAGGGGCACCACCGGCCTTGCAGGGGCACCAGAGGCCTAGCAGGGGCACCACAGTCCTGTCAGGGCCCAGGGGCACCAGGGGCCTAGCAGGGGCACCACAGGCCTGCCAGGGGCACCACCGGTGTAGCCTTTACAAATCAATATATTATGTATCAGTGGCAGGTCCAAGGGGGGCCACATGGGTCATGACCCCCCTTGGTGCCCGGGTGGTGCCTGTCAGGGGCACCACCGGCCTAGCAGGGGCACCACCAGCCCGCCAGGGGCACCACAGGCCTAGCAAGGGCACCACGGGCCTGTGAGGGGCCCACAGGCTTGTCAGGGGCACCCCAGGTCTGTCAGGGACACCAGAGACCTGCCAGGGGCACCACCGGCCTCGCAGGGGCACCATGGTCCTGTCAGGGGCCCTGCCGGCCTCGCAGGCATCACGGCATCACGCAGGGGCACCTTGGGCCTGTCGGGGACATCACGGGCCTGTTGGGGGCGCTTTAGGCTTGTCAGGGGCACCGCAGTCCTGTCAGGTCCCAGGGGCATCAGCAGCCTAGCAGGGGCACCCTAGGCCCGCCAGAGCCACCACAGGCCTGCCAGGGTCCAGGGGCACCACAGGCCTAGCAAGGGCACCATGGACCTGTCAGGGGCACCTCAGGCTCCCGTGCCCCCCCCCCCTGGATCGGCCAGTGATGCCACACCACGCGAAACACCGCCAACTACCAGCTGCCGCGCCATAAACACGTGCCAACAACAGTCTTTTTTTAAGGTCGACTCCTCTCGCGCAACTTTTGACTGACCCTCACTGCTACCATATTGCTTCCATATTATGCTGTGGAAAGCTTTACTTCACCAAGTGGCTAAAAACCTCCTTCAAGGTATATTTTCTTAGCATTTTTTCGGACGTTTTGGGGGGGCCAAACCGGCCACTTTAGGCCTTTGGGGGGGCCATGGCCCCCGTGGCCCCCCCCCCTGGATCCGCCAGTGGCTTCATCGCACTCGCACGAAGCGAGACGCAATCCCATTTCCTGCTCAGAAGCATAGGTACCTTCCAATCGCGCCTTAAAGTCCCTAATTGGCAGCAGTCGGGTTACTGTATTGCGGTACAGCATACCCTCAGGGGCTCGATACTAGCGACATCTATGCGTCGAATGTTCAAGTATCGTAGGCATTGCGGTTTCCGCGCACCGCTGCAGGGTAGCTGACTATAATAGTTGAAGACTATAATAGTTGAATGTTACAGACTATATATAGTTAGATATTGTGACAAGACAACGGTGCATGCCTACTAACGTCATTCGTAATAAAAGAATTGCTAACACAATTATTACCTGATTACCGCAAATAACATAAGCGTATGAAAAGTAAGATACCTATCTAGGTATGCAGCATGAGTGCAACGGCAGGCTGATTTTGCATCGAGAACCGTCCGCAAATCCGTTCGTAGTGTGCATTTATTAAAAAAGACATCTAGAATTGAGTAAGCATCAAACCAACAATCACAATGGTACAAGTGGTCAATGAATCTAAATGCCAAATGGAGATGAATGTTAAAAGCATCAGAAGTCTCGGCTTCATTTGACGATTGAACAAACGTGCATAGAGTCCTTTGAAATAAAGAATTCGCGGTCATTCACAACAGAAATCACCTTCCCCGCTGCAGTGCTGACTGCTGAGCGGTTCTAACACTCGGTTCACGGCCACGGTCGGCGCTGCCGTCTCTGCTCTCCTCTCGCCGGTCCGGAGATGGGTCACTGACCCTTGCACGGTGAGTGCAGAGGCGCCCGCGGCTGCGGCACACCGGTGGACGGCGCCGCGTGCACTCTCAGTGACCAGCAGTCGGCTCTCAGCAGTGCGCTCAGTTCTCGGTGGTCAGTGGTCAGAAGAGACTGGTGTGTCGACTATGAAGGTGCTGTGGTAAGGGCTGGGCTGGAGCTGTGATTAGATGGCTTGAAGTGATGTGACGAACCATCGACAGAAGAAAGGGTCCATGCGCCCGCGGCAAGCTGAAAAAAAAACTCTGGGGATCTTGCCGTGTTCTGGTGATCTGAAGAGAAGCCAGCAGTCTGGTGAGCTGCAACAGCTCGGCGTGGAGACGGCTGTAGCTGCTCCAGCTCGATGGCCGTCGGGCTGAAACGACAGCAGAAGCTGTTCTACGCTGTTTGTGGACTGGCTGTGCTGGGGTTCATTTGCACCGTCAGACTGAATTCAGGTGAGTATCCTGAAGACCATCATGATTATAGCCAGAGCCCAGAACATGCATTTGTGACATTAATTTGACGTGGCAGCTGTGCAATAATTTAGGTACAGAGGCGATGGAATTTTGTTTTGAAAAAAAAGATGGTCATAGAACAATGCAATGCCCTATGCCGAGTATTGTGAGTCTGAAATACTTTCAGTCATAAATATCTCAAAATTATTGAATAAGTGAGGCCTTACAACTAACAGTGGGCAGGCACGCACTCATAATTGCACGGCACCCGAGCTTGTCTGATGACGATAACCTAACCGTTATCCCCGCCGCCAGATCGTGTTCCGGTCAGCGGGTGGCCATCGGCCGGCTGCCTGCGGATCCTGCAGCTGGACTCCTCGCTGCTCGGCTGCGTGGACCACCACTTCCACACCATCCGAGACCCGTGTCACTCAGACTCCCAGACCGCCGAGCAGGCGAGCGGCTGTCTGCGGCGGCGCGCGGCGCGCCTGGGACGGCCGGCGCGGCTGGTCCTTATCGGCGACTCGCGCAGCCGCATCCTGCAGGAGCAGCTGAAGGAGTTCGTCCACCTCTCCATCGGGCCCAAGCCGGAGGACATCAGCGCCGCGGACGTGCCGCCCGGGCCGCTGCACGACTTTCAGCTGTTCGCCACGCGCGACATGTGTCCGATCCGTGGAAAATTCTGCAGCAACATCCTGACCAGTGACGTACTGAGCGTCGAGTTCTGGCGCAGACCGTTCCTCTACACACTCTTCGTGCAGAAACTGCGGGCGATAGCGACCGAGTGCCGCGCGCGGCCGCCGGCCTGTCCGGATCTCGTGGTGCTCAACGGCGGCCTCTGGTACATCCAAATGCGCATCCAGCAGCTAGTGGTGATCGAAAACTCGCCCACCGCCTGGATGATCAAGCTGGGCGAGCACGTGACCGAGCTGCGTGCCGTGCTGCGCGAGCTCTCCGAGCTAGTGACGGTCGTCTGGAGGCTCGAAGAGGCCATCACCTCAGATGCCCTCGGTCTCGGCAAAAAGGATATGGACTATCAGAAAAGGATAACCGCGTCGCACCCGTTCTTCTACGAGCTTCAAAGACAGGTGAGTCGTGGCTGGAGATGTCTTATTTGTGATATAAAAAACGCGTTATGGGTTTCGGACTTCGGTACATTAGGCCAGGCGTCGAAGCGGTCGAGGATTACCGGTAAAGTTTGATTGCTATTACTTCTATAGGCTGCAAAAAAATGTTTTTTTTTATAATCCGAACCATGTGAACAAGTAACCTTTGCTAGATCTCTTCCAATCAGTTCACTGCGGGGAGCAAATTAATTTTCTCTGTTTAGGTCAAACGTGAAACGATTAGTGTTTGTTTCAAATCAGTGCATCTAAAAAGACCATAGGTTATTGTCAAAAGAAAGTTCTCGTTGTTTGTCTGTCTTGTCAAATTCTGACCTGGGGCATAACTGTAAAGTGTAAAAGCTCGGCTGCCCATTGAGTGCCCGACTCCGCACGCAGCACAGCCTCGCTCCCGGCCCACCACTATAACCGCCGCTCCGCCCTCCCGCCGTTACAGGTCCCTCGGCTGGCGGTGTGGTCCTCGATGCTGCCAGAGACCATGGACGTGGCGCAGCGGGTCTGCAGGCCCGTGCGACAGCTGAACGTCTCCACAGACGCCGTCATCGAGGACACGTTCGACCAGTGCGAGGACGAGATCCACGCGGGGCCGGCGCTCCGTCAGCGCTTCATCTCTAAATTGCTGGACATTCTGTGTGAAGTGGATGGAGATCGGGAGCCGGGTCACTGCTGCAGGGGATAACAGAGGAAGCGGGTGGGAAATTGTGACTGCGGGTAATGTGTTGAATGGTGTGGCTTTCATTGTACTGCATAACGACACTGCTAAAGATGTTTCCATTTAAGGAAATATTCCACCAACATCTCAGACGGCGACGGGCGAAGATCGTTCTTCTGAACTGTGATGGCTTCTTTGGGGAGAGAGGACGACCGTTTCAGCTTTTCGACCACTTAGAGCCCCGAGATGAGAGAAGAGGAAATTGGATTGGTTTGAACATCCAGCAGTGCGCTGTTGTGGCCGAGTCCGTCCCGTTGGGACAGTGGGACGAGCCTCTCAGCCTCTCAGTCTCTCCGGGGTAAATGCTCCTTCTGAAACTGCCTTCACCGTGCCGGCTGCCTGGATTAGCCGTCGTCCTAAAGCAGGGAGGATGATCACTTATCAGTGCTGCCTAAAGATGGACAGTTCTGGGAATAAAGGGAATAACGTGTGTAATGATGCCGATGTCGTTTCCTGTTGAATGCTGCCAGGTAACCATAGGATGTTATGAGAACGTCTGCTGTTATCGTATGTTAAAGTGATGGTCATGCTCATTGCTCAATATACAACAAATAAATGCCAACGAAATAAATAGACGAAACTAACTCGTACTTATATAAGCGAAACGAACCAAACGAGAGCAATGGTCAGTACGATTTATTTATTCTTACAAACGCGTGTTATAACAGCACCTCACTGCACGCACTTCAGACGCTTCTTCCCAATGGAGAGTATCGCAAATGCTTGGCGTTAGTGAACGTTTACTGACCTCAAAAATCAAAAGCGTCGTGTGTTAAAAGAAATCAATACCTATCAATGGCTTCTGGACATGGAACTACCTTACATTACATTGCACCAAACAATCTAATCGACCGTTGACTAGCCACTTTCACACCACTGAATATTGACCGTCATCAAATTAAAAGCGTCGGAAGCTTGTTCTTTTACAAGGTAATGAATATATAAATAGCCAGCTTAACTCGCAAAGACGGATCAGCTTTAAACAAAACTGAACAATCTTCCCGCTAGTAGAGCCCAGAAGTCCAACTGGTACAATGGTACAACTAACACAACGGCCATAACTATTGCTATTGCCCAGTTCGTCGCTCACCGGCACAAGCATGTATCCCGGCGTCACGCATCCACTAACGCGGGAAGGGCACCACAAGCGTCTCACTGGGTCGAGACAATACTTGATGCACAGGCATGGTGGCCACCTGACCTTTCTCTGGAAGGTGGAACTCGATCCTTCGCAGCAGACCGGCCAAAAACGCGAACAGAAGACTCCGGGCGTGAGCCTCTGCCAAGCAGACGCGAGGCCCAAAGCCGAACGCCCGCACCTGTTCGCGAAGCTTGGCGCCGTTCTCGCTTAGGAAGCGGTCCGGTCGAAACACGTCCGGGTCGCCCCAGACGGCTGGGTCATGGTGCAGTGAGTGCTGATCCGCTAGTACCATGGCGCCCGCAGGGATGTGGTAGCCGCGCAGGCTCGTGGCGCCCTGCGTGGTGGAGTGCCGGTTGATGGGTGTCAGTGTCACGAAGCGAAGCGTCTCCTCGATGGCGGCCTGGGTGTAGGGACACTGGCGCTCGTCCTCCACCGTCGGGGCACGGTGGTCTCCCAGGAGCTCAGTCAGCTCGGCACGAACCCGCTCCTGCACCTCCGGGTGCTTCGCCAGAAGGAGGATGGTCCAGGAGAGCGCGATGGGAGGGGGCTCCAGAGAGCCCAGTAGCAGGTCCTTTAGCATCACCAGCAGGTTTTCGATGGAGGTGTCGTGGTCCGCCTTGGGGATTTGCAGTAGGTACTCGTCGATAAAATCCCGGGGATGAGCCTCGTCTAGCGTCTCGATATGTTCGTCGATTCGAGCCTTGATGAAGTGGCTCACCTTGTCCAGGGATCTAGCCAATGTTTTCACGTCTGATCTCTGACTGGAGAAGTGTGCCAACCACGGAAAGAAGTCCAGGTGAGACTGAATATTTGCCAAAAGTCTTACGATGTGAAAGCTTGCGTCCTTAAGCTCGCCAATTCGAGGATCATGCGACTCGAATTCAAAGTTCATGATGAACTTAAGCGTGACGTTTGCTATGGCTCCGGTAAGTTCCCGTTCAATGTTGACCACTTGTCCTTTCAACTCCACTAGGTCCTCGACCAGCTTGGAGCACTCTGCGCTGGCCAGAGTCTCAAGTTTGTTTCTGTTGAAGCCCAGTCTACCCAGCGTGCGGATGATGAACTTCCTGTTGTGCTGCCACTTGGATCCGTCGGCCAAGCTCACCCCGAGGTTGTCCCAATGCCCGGCCAGACGATTCAGGTAAGTCCCGGTCATCCCGTGTAGACGAACATCCTTGGCTGCCTCCTGTGGATGCATAAGGCAGAACATTTGTAGATCGGATGTTTCTATTATCTAGATATGATTATCCACATAACATTTTAAATCAAACATTTAGGTTTCATGATCTGCTTAGACTTGTGGTAAAGTTTTATGGCTGAATCGCAATTACAATTGCAGGACAACCAGTGACCCTATATGTAAAGGCAGCATCATTCAAGCTCAAAATAAGCTCCTTTAAAAACAACCTGATAACGGTAGCGCCGATGGCCGCACAGTAGGTACCTTAAGAGCGTCATATGTGCGGATGACGACCACGGGCGTATCCAGAGCGATCCTGAAGAAGACGATGGGTCCATACTTGGCCCCGAGTCGTCGGCAGAGGTCCTCGAGGCGACCACCGGTCCAACAGAGCTGGATGAACTCCCAGCTTCCCAGCAGAGGGATGCTGACCGGACCTGGCCCGGTGTAATGGTGCGTCAGGAGTGGGGGCGGAAAACAGAGCAATGGCTCGAGGTGTCTGGTAAGAATCGGGGAGAACGGTCGAAGGGTCGAGCGTCCCAACCCTTTTCCATGCATTCGTCGCGCATGACGAAACTTGCCTAGCAACGGCCCTGGGTTATTTAGCCCTTGAACAGAAGCTGTTTAGATTTCGTTGATCTCCTCTGTTTCTGTTCTGTGTCAGAAATCAGAATTCAACGTTCAGATGGATGCTCACCGGGCGGCAAATTCCCACGGTACGACACAATCCTCTTCAGCACATACCAAGCCACAATAATGGCCAACAAAGCTATGGCGGACATGCTGCTCGGGCAGCGGGGCAGCGGAGATGTGCTCGCGAGCCGTCCTCGCCGGACACTGCTGCACCCTGTAAGCAGTAAACAGCGGCTCGCCGCGGTACACCAGTCGTCAGGTCAGCGGGCACGACGACGGCGACGCCGGGAGATGACCTCGTTCGAAGGGGGCAGGCCGCACTGTCAAGTGTTATGTCAGCACTCGAGTGGTCTGGCGGAGGGACACGATACACTGACCTACGCCAGATTCGTCAATAACTCTCATCCGTGTAGGGGGGGGTGTCGAACGGACCCCCCCCCCCTCGGTTTTTCGCGAATAACTCGCGTGAAAAGCGGCCGATCGCGACAAAACTTTCAGTACCCTCAAGTTGATCAAATTTACACCTACCCTGAAATTTTCATGACGCTGACCCAAATGACCTTTGACCTGTGACCTACTTTTCGAGACCATATTTGGCCGCGGAATCGCGATTCGGCGTCTATGTCGGCTCGCATTAGCCGCGCGCTTGCAGTCTTTTCGTGGTTTTAAGCGTTGAAATATGTGAAATGATGTTGGTCCCATGCATTAGGGTGGGTATCAAAGTCACCTGAAGGTCAGGTCAGGTCATTGACCTTTGATGACCTCGGTTCACTTTTTCGACAGTTACATGTTACTAGGCCAGTTTTTGGAGATGAATTAGAATTTAGCAACCATATGAACATTTACGAAGTAGTTTTGGCGCCTTCGTAACATGTTGCGAAGCTGTGAGAGGCGGTTGACACCTACCTACTACGAATGCCCGGCAGGACCCCTACTGGTTGACCTGACCTGCGCTGACCCGACCTGACCTAAATGCATTAAGACATCATCTGTGATCAAAACTAACATGGTAGGTATTCGTGATCAGCACCCCGAAACCCCTATTGCACCCACACTTTACGACGTTCTAACAGGTCCCGATTTTTCCGACTTTTTGTCATTGCCCTGACCTGGAGGGTCAACCAATGACCTACTAGGACCTTAAAATTGGGTCATCGGCTTCCTCTCGTTACAGGAAACACGCTCGTTTTTCCCGCGAAGCTCTAGCTTGATCAGGGGCGAAACGGCAAGGGGGGTCACTGGCGGATCCAGGGGGGGGGGCCACCGGGGCCATGGCCCCCCCCAAAAGCCTGAAAGGGGGGGCCAACATATCTTTTGCCCCCCCCCCCCCAAAAACGCTTGAAGAAAAATTAATGTAAGAAGGTGTTGCGTAGTAGATTATACCTACTAGAATCAGCAGCGTGATTCAATAGCGTAGAGAAAGCCAGGGGCGCGGGAACTACTTTCAGACTGGGGGGGGGGGGGGCACACCATAATAGAGATCAACCTAGGGTCCCCCCAAATCTAGTTTTCTCACCGATTTTAGGCCACTTATTTTTCATCCCTTGGCTTTTTCAACAAAAAAGAAAACATTGGCGAAAAAGGGCGGTATTCCGTCTGAAAGTTGTGGGGGAACCGCCCGCACGGCCCCAGAGTTGGGGGGGGGGGCAAGCTGCCACCACTGGCCCCTCCCCCCGGTTCCCGCGCCTATGGAGAAACTACCGGGCTTACTAGCTTCCTTCATAAAGTGTCGTCATGTCTTGTCGTCACCCGAGAAGGTCTTATTGCATACATATCGATTGAACTGACAACTGTCAAGTTAATAAACTTGCTCTGGCAGCCTGACCTGACATGACCCGGCAATTTTTCATTCACGGAATATGCGCAATAAATTTTTTAGGAACACTCACTGAGTTTGCGTTGAAAAAAACTTGTTTTGTTTGGTAATTGCACAAGAAGCATATGAGGGACCTTTTTGTCCCTTCCTGCGAAACAGTAAAAGACTTATTTCGATCAGAGCTCAGGCCAATCTCTATGGGGTCAGTCGGGTCACTTATTTCTTAAAAGGGTCCTTACGGCATCCGAGGACCAATTCCAGCTTTTGAGTGCACCTCATCAGCATTTGATGCTACAACAGATGTTGAAATATGAATATATGTTACAGGCCATATGAAAATTTGGTCCGTTTGCAAACGGCCTGGTCCAGTCAGGCCATATGAAACAGCCTGAAAACACTGGCCGTTTGCAAACCATGACCTGAAATATCAGACCGTTTGAAAACGGCCTAGTTAGTTTCGGTCTAGCGGATCCAGGGGGGCCACGGGGTCATGCCCCCCAAGCCTGAAAGGGGGGCAACATATATTTTGGTCCCCAAAAACACTTAAGAAAAATGAATGTGAGAAGGTAGCGTAGTAGGTAGAGAGAAAATACCGTATCATTAAAAATATGTGAGCTTGATAAAAGTGTTGGTCTTGTCTTCACCCAAGAAGTTCTTATTGCATACTTTACCTCTCGATCGACGTGTGAAGTTATCGTGTAAGTTATCATGAAGCCGATCGCGACGAAACTTACGTACTCTCATGTTTACAAAGTCTGAAAACTTCATGACCCTGACCCAAGTGACCTTTGACCTGTGGCCTATTTCTCGAGACTATCCGTGCGTTCGGAGAACATGTAATATTCACCGTCCCCGGGAATATTCCCCGTGCCGCGTTCGGAGGCATATCTCTCTGAACGGCGGCAATCTCCGGGAATATTCCGCGCGCATGGAATATTCAACGGATTCCACGTGGAATGTGCCTCTCCGAACGCACCATATATTTGGCCATGCTTGAGGCCATGTTTGGCCGGAATCGCGATTCGGCGTATAGGTATGTCGGCTCACATTATCCGCGCGTTTACAGTCTTTTCGTGGTTTAAAACGCTCAAACATGTGATATGATGTTGCTCACATGCATTAGGGTGGATGTCAATGTCACCTTACGGTCAAGTCAGGTCATTGACCTTTGATGACCTCGGTGCACTTTTCCGAGTTTAACATGTTTCATAGGATAGTTTCGTTTAGCTGATTTTGAATTTAGCATTTAGCAACCATTTGAACATTTACGAAGTAGTTTTGATGCCTTCGTATCATGTTACGTACTCGTATGTAGCTGCCAGTGGTAGTGGACACCTGCTATACGGACGCCCATAAGTAAAGTACCCCTACTGGTTGACCTGACCTGACCTACCCTGACATGGCCTAAACGCATGAAGACATCATCTATGATCCAAACTAACATGAAATTCATGATCAGCACAAAACAAAACTATTACAGCCTTACTTTAGGAGGTTCTGACATGTCCTGATTTTCCCGTCTTTTGGGTCTGTGATCTGACCTGGGCGATGTTTCACGGCACGCTACCAGCCGCTGCCAGCACTGATGACACTTTTGGTTTCAATGGAGACATCAACAAGCCAAACCCACAACACTACCGAAGGTTGACCTTAGCTCGCGGAATGCGCTGGCAGCGGCTGTCAGGCGTCAGCGCGACCGTGAAACACCGCCCTGGAAGGTCAACCAATGACCAAGGACCTTAAAATCGGGTATCATAGGCTTCGTCTCGTCACTCACGGGCAACACGCTTGTTTTTTTCCGCGAGCTCTAGCTTGATCAGGGGCCGAACGGCAGGGAGTCCAACCGACACCTTCCAGCCCGCGAAGGCTGCGCCAAGCGCCGGCCCGGAGCGGTCTAACTGGTCGACAAAAGCAATTTGAAGTGTTTTCAAAGTAATATAAGGCTCGGGTTGGGTGGGCTGCCATTTCTTTTTTCTTTTCTTTTTAGTTAAAAAAAATTATCGTTTCAGGGCTGTGACGAAAAAATAAGTGGCCTAAATCCGATGAGAAAACAGGATTTGGGGGTACCCTAGGTTTGGTTACTTGCAGGAGTTGGCCCCCCCCCCCCAAAACGCAAGTCTGGATCCGCCAGTGAGGGGGTCCACCCCCCCCCCCTTATACGTTCACGGCTGGAAAACACCAATACGGGCGAGGGTTGAACCTCCGAATGGGATTCTGAACAAGGCTGTTCATTCTTGGTTCATTCAAAACAAGATCGGAGGCAGTGGCGTATCTAGGATTTCTCTCAGGGGGGATCCGCAGTCAAAAGGGCCCTTGACTGACTGGGTTTTAAAGGGCCCTTAAGTGGCAAAAGGGCCCTTGTAGCTTGAGTTGAAAGGGCGTTCAACCCGCGTCCCGTGGGGGGGGGACGAAACGGCCCCCTGTCCTCTTCCGTAGCTATCTCCTAAATGACTGCAGATATCCCAACCAAACTTTCAGGACGTCTACGGGCATCCATTTTACACATTATGACCAATTTTTTTTTTTTCCAGAGGCTATGATAGGTTGGCCGCAAATGACGTCATGTTCTGCCATTTTCGACCCAAAAAAGGTTTCGCAGGAAGAGCTGTCAGCCCTACAGAGCTGTAGATACATAAAAATGTTCCGAGATAAAAGGTGTACAATTAACAGGCCTAGGTCAAATCTGAGCACAGTTTAGCCCCGCCTTGGGTTGGGCCCAGGCTGGAGCGTTGACCCTAGGTCAAATCTGAGCACAAATTACAGAAAGAATGTCAAAAGAGTTTTGTTTGTTTTGTTGGGCTATCATCCTTCCGGCCCTTTCGGTCTGACCAGACCATTTCAGGGCCGGAAGGATGATAGGAATTGAGGGAGACATTGGTCTGGGCGGGCACCTTGGTGAGTCACCGGGGCTGAGCCTGTCCAACAGGACAGGCCGACCAGCCCCCCAAGTGCTCACTGCACCCGGTTACGAGTGTGCTTCCTTAGGAGCTGCAGTGCGCTCCAATGGGAGCCGCCCGCATGGTATAAAGTTTCCCGTCCAGGTCCAGCCTGGATCATGGGTTGCGGCATGGAGGAGAAGGATTTGAATGTCCTGAGGATGGAAACGGCGAAACGGGTGTTAACCCGCGCCGGGCCGGGGGGTGTTTGAACACCCCCCTGCGGTTTTTCGCAGATATCTCAAAAAACGGCGGCGCCCGTTTTTGGCACACCTGTTTGTGCATCTTTTCCGCACATGTTGTGAAAATTTCAGACCCAGGTCGCCTTAGGTCAGGTCACCAGGTCACGCCAAGTGACCTCACCTCAGAAAAAATAAGAATGCTCGTCATAGCTACACCGATTGATCGATTGCCTTGAAACTTTCAGCGATTGATAAGAGCAACATTATCTATAAAATG